AATTAATATATTTTAAAATACTTAAATTATATAAAAAATATTATTTATAATTAAAAGATATTTTATTTGATTACAATAACAATTATAAAATTTTATTATATAATTATTAATAATTACAATAGTATTATTACTTATATAAATACAAATCTTCAAAATTTATTAGATATACAAATACTTAAATTTTAAATAAATAGATTAATAGATTTTAAATTAATATAATTTATTAATTAAACATTATATAACTTTAATATAATATTTATCTAAAAATTTAAAGAAAAAAATAATTTTTTAAATTATATTTTAAATAAATATAATTAATATAATTATTCTTTATATTTAATTGTGAATATAGATAAAATTTTATTTACTTTTGATATATCCAATTCAATAATAATTAAAAATACAGTACTTATACAAATAGTTCTTAGATGTATAATTAATAAAACAAAATTACCTCCAGTTATTATTTTCAAATTAAAAATATATATCTTAAGAAAATTTTTTTTTAAAGATATATTTATTTGTGTAAATAAAAAAGGATTAGATTAATAGAAATAAAATTCTATGATAGATTGAAAATATTTGAACTAAATGATCTTTATTAAATAATTTGTATTTTCTTTAATTTTAATTATTTCGTATATATATAATTAATTCAGTTAAAAATTAACTTATTATAAAAATACAAATATTACAGTTTTTTAGTAATTTAATATTATTAGATATTATAATTAATAAAAGTTTTAAATTTAGATATAGATAATTTTATCTTATATGCTATTTTATTTTATTTTTATTTTATATAAATACTAATAAAATTAATTTAAAAAGGTTTATATACTATATAATTAATAGATAGTAAAGAAAATTCATAAAATTACACTTTTAAATCATATTAAAAGGCTATTATATTCAAAATTAACTGAATAGATAAAATTATGTAGAAATTTTTTGATTTAAATTTAATTAAAAATTCATTTAAATGTTGTAAATACCTATTATAGAATATTTAAATTTAGTAAATAGATTTAATTTTAGTATACTTAGTATTTTAATTATAATAATTTAATTAAAATAAAAAAAAAATGTTAATAGTAAAAATGATTAACATATTTTATATTTATCATATTATTTTAATATTTGATAAAAGAAATTATTATTATATTATTATAAAATAATTAGTTTATTTTACTAAAAATTTTAGCAAGATTTTTAAATATATTAAATAGATTATATTAAATTTATTAATAAATTTTAATAAATGTTGATTATAAATAAAATTTTTCTCTAAAAATGATTTAAAAAATGCTTATATTTAAAGAAATTTATTTTTTAATTTATACAAATATTAAGTCATAAAATAATTGTTTTAATAAATACTTATTTTGATAAATAATAATTTTTTTAAAATAAAAGATTTTATTTTTATTTTTTTAATATTATTAAAAAAAAAAAAAAAAATTTATGTAATATAATATTTTATCAGAAGGATATTAACTATTCAAATCTTTTTTTTTAATACCTAATAGACAAATGATTTATTTATATAGAAATAATATTTAAAGGTATGCTATTGATACAAAATCTATATACTGTATTTAGATTTTAAATATGTTAATTTAATTAGTAACTATGCTCAGTAACTATGCTCTAAAATATAAAAAGTTCTTTAAACAAAAAATAAAATTTTCAAAATCCTGCTACTCAAGTATTATCTGATATCTGAAAATTCGCAGATATTGGCAAATAATCTTCTTATTGATCCAATACCATCTTTATTGGCAATTTGTTGATGGTAATGTACCATATAAAAGAAGGCTTGGAATATGAACAATATGTTAGAGATACACAAGAAAAGAAGAAATAAAATAAAAGATTTCTAATTATAATGATAATTAAATAAAGAGTTAAGAATTTGCGATTGTTTTTTATGTTAGATTATAATAAATATGCATGTGACGTTCATTCAGAAGTAAGCACGATATTCTCTTTTTGTGAATTACTATCAACAATTCTTGGAGTATGTCGAGGTGCAGCTTCCATTTCTGAAAACATCAATTCAAGTTCCTTCAGTTCTTCATCAATAACATTCTTCACTGTAGATTCCTCAATTGTTTGAGACACTGTAGACTCTGTGATCGGTTGAGGCACTGGTTGTTTCGTTGGTGTTGATTTAATGGACTCCTCTTCTTCCAACAATGCTTCTAACTCTTTCTCTAAATCTTCATCTATTTCAAGTGATGTTTCGATCAAAGTTTGATTCACTTTCATTGCATCATCTATTTCTTTCTGATCTGCAAGGGCATCCTGTAATTTATCCATTGTCGCATCCACAGATTCAGCCGTAATTCCTTCAGAAGCCAAAACACCTTTCAAAGCATTGGCTCCTAAACCATACATATCAATGATCTTTTTGATATGTACAAATGATTAAGTCTTAGTTCTCAAAAAAAAAAAAAAAAAAAAAAAAATATTCAATCATTTATATTATAATTAGAAAATGATTCCTTACTTCAGTATCACTTGCAGCTCCTTGAATTTTCAAAAGAACTCCCTCAATAGCATCCAAAGAACCCATTCTTTTTGATAAGATAAGTTCAAGATTCTTTTTTTGTCTTAAAGAATATTTCGCTTGCACCTTTTGTTTACGAATTAAATATCCAGTTATCTTCTTATTCAAGCTAAACATAAAATATAAATATATATAAACAAATTTCTATATTCATGAAAAAAAAATTATTATATCAATACCTACTCTGCCATTTTAATTTCGACATCTTCGACTTGTTTACGTAATTTCTTACTCGTTTCCTTAATACAAATAATTCCACGATCTGATTTAGTAAATTCAAGCTTGGAAAGATATTTTTCTTTTTTGGATCGCATTTTAATTATCTGGTAGTATAAGTATAAGCATTACTAAAAATTTAATAAACAACACAATCGGACAAAAATAACATTATATTATGCTCACAATTTCATCTTCTTTTTCCTCATTTCCATGCCAAGCTTCTGTAATCAACATTCTTTGTTCAAATTCTAGATAAGATACCAACATCGTAAGGTCAGTATCTGATAATACAACGCCTGGAACAGCCAAGGCAGCGTATTCGGCCTTAAATGAAGTTAAAGTATAAAGGTTATCCGTGATTCCATGAATTGCATTTTTTTCATGATGTTGAAGAACGCGATCTGCAGCCTCCTTTAAAGTAGGCATTACTACAAACTTTTTTGCATCTAAAACATTATTAGAACCCATCATTTTTTGTAATCCCCACGATAATGACTGTAAAATCCATCCAGACCAAGAATGATTCGATGACATAGAAGAACGAAAATTTTCAGCAGGAATTAATTCTAAGGAGATGAATAATTCTTGCTAAGAAGAAAATAAAAAGAAAACGAGTTAATAATTTGAAAAAGTTTTGAACACGAAGTAGAAAAGAATTTTTTCATACAATAACACAATTTAAGCCTGCTGGAGAAACACCGTTATACGTGGAAAATATTTCTTCTAAACCTTCACGATTAATACAAAGAATCTCTTCACCCAACCAGCCGCGTTTGCTTGTTTCAATCAAGACATTTGACCAAAACTTGAGTATTTCGTTAAATAATTTTGTATTAAAGTTCTTTTGGTTGGAAAAATCGCTCCAGTACCAGGCCTCTTTATCTAAATCCTTAACTCGTAGGTCAGGATGCCTTTTGAGATAGTCACGAATATCTACTTTATTTGCAGGCTTCATGTTGACCGTGTTTGACTGAAATAAAATAATCCATTCAATTTTATTGTATAATCACGTGAAACTCCAAGAGATCTGCAATACACGTACTATTCGTAATGAAACGCGTTTTATCAAAATGACGATTAAATAATTTGAAGTTAACCATCAAAACAAATCGATGACAATAAGACTTGACTCGTTTGCTTGGAAGATTCTTTTTTTCTACAAACAAAATAGAATAAAAAAATTTGATTTGATTTCCAAGTTCAAAGTTCAAACGGAAACTCATATCATATGTTTTATGTTGAATGAATTTCTAAGTATGCAAATAGATCTTCGATTCTCGTGACACATGTAAACTATCCCAAATATTATGTAATAAAGATGTCCAAATGTCATCATTTAACACCCGTGGCGCAGATTCGAGTATGTGTAACATCATGTTGTATCTTCTTTAGAATATGTATTTAGAAATTACAAGAAAAAAGAAATTCGAGGATTTTCCTATACAATACATATATATATATATATATATAATATAATAAAATAAAACCACGATTTTGGAACTTGGGTCCCGGGATGTGCCATTGTATCATTATAACATTATTTCTAAAAAAAAAACATTGTTTATAAATCCCATGAACTGAATTGCAAATAAAGTTGGAATATTTTTATTTTCTGATGTCAGCTGATTAGATAATGTCCTTAACCTTTACATATTTGTTTATTATAAAGCCACAAATTAGGTAGCTATGTTACATTTAAACCAGAATTTCTTTCTTTCTTAAAAACAATGACGAATCTTAAAATTAAATAATCTTTACCAATTAACTGAACAAAATCTAACTCACACTCGTTATAATTCTGCTGCTGCGGACTGCGTTTGGTGAGAAATTTGTGTAATTTTATAGGTTGAAAAAAGGGAAAAAAGGGGTTTAGGCAACTCAATTTTTTTTTTTTTTTTTTTTTTTTTTTTTAAATAAATACCGATATCTCGAAAAAAATTGCATTCCTTAATATAATCATTGTAGACGTTTTCGTTTACGCTAATTTCTTAAAAAAGAGTAAATTTCCACATTTTCACAGAATAAATTTTACTCTCCCCACTTTTATTATACCTTTTACAATTCTTACAAACAAACCTTTTATTATATTTCTTGCTAATTTTTTTTTTCATTATATGATAAAAAAAATATAATTTAGTTTTTTTTTTTTTTTTTTATTAATTCATTTACATTATCTAAAACGTACTTTTTATTCATGCAATCAAACACTATGGATAGTTTTAGACCACCTGAAAACCCAAACCCATATGGTCCACCAGCACCTCCACGTTCAGACCCACCTTCACAACGAGGATATCGAGGGGGAAACCGTGTAAGACAGCAGAGATCGTGGAATCAAAGATCTAACGCAGGGGGAAACAATAACAATAATAACGTTGGTAATAATAACAATAATGGTGTTGGTAATGTGAGGGGGGGACGCAGGGGTAATTTTTATGAGCGAAGGTCAAGAGATAAGAGTCAAGATAGCGGTTGGAGATCTCGACAATATAATGAACGCAACTTACGGTCATACCGTGATGGGGGTTCAACGTACAGAGACGGTTCATATTGCAGAGAAGGTGCAGCATCTCGTGATAGGAGAGATAGTTGGGGTCATCGACATTATAATGACAGGTCCTCACGTTATGGACGTGATAATAATAATGGACCGTCAAGAAACAGACAACAGGAAAGGCAACCTCCTTGGCATCAAGACCGGTACCATCAACAATATCAACATCAAAATGGGATTGCGCAGAATAATTGGAATTCCACAAGTCTTGCCGGATCATCTGGACCGCATGGGCATCACGGACCACATCCTCCTGTGTCACACGGACCTACAATGATCCCAGTTCCAGGTCAACATGCTCCAGGTTTATCACCACAACTTGGACCCCCGGGTGTATCTGGACATGTTAATTTACATGGCTCACATGTTCCTCCAGGGCCGCCTGGTCAAATTGGCCAACAGGCTCAACATAATCAGAATCAATCAGGACATTTGGGTCACCTAGGGCAACATGAGCATCACGAGAGGCAGCCTGCGCAATTAGTACAACCAGGAGCACCTGGAACTCATCCGGTTCTTCCTCATTACGAACAAACACCATATCAGGAGCCTGCACCATTTCAAGGACAATTACCTCCTCAGATACCGACCTGGGATCAAAATTATCATCCACAACCTCCTGGTCATCATTACCAGGAGACGTATTATCATCCATACGATCATTATCAAAACCAATATAATCCTTATATGAATGGTGCTGATAGTATGGGATATAATCATCATATGGAAAATAAGCACGCGATGCCACCCCAACCACCCCAACCTCCACAACCTCCAAATCCACCACATGCCAACATTCATATGAATGTAAATAATGTACAACTGACTACACAGCTGCGATCACCGATATCGCCACATACGTCTTACCCACAGTCATCGATGCCAATACAATCGATACAACCAACTCATATATCGCAGCAACCAACAGTAGGGACAAGATCTGTAAAGTCTCATGTATCTCCGATTGAAGTCACTCCGGTGACCGTTAAAAAATGTGCCGAGTTATATGAAATCTTGAGTCAAGTAGGAGAGGGCACCTACGGGTAAATAATCGATCGTGCTTTCACTTAAATAATATTTACATTTGATGTAATGATTTTTACATTCTTGGACCTTATAGTAAGGTTTACAAAGCAAGAAATCGCGAGACAAAAGAAATAGTGGCATTGAAGAAGATACGTATGGATCCAGAGAAAGAAAAGGAAGCTGGGGTAGGTTGGTGAAAAAACGATTTTTATTTTTTTTTGTTGGAAAGTCACGTTACTCATATCCATCATTCTAGCAGTTTCCTCTCACGGCAATTCGTGAAATTAAACTCTTGCAACAATGCAAACACAAAAACGTCGTGCAACTAAAGGAGATAATGGTTTTCCAAGGTGAGTAAATAAATGTTTTGCATCATCTAAAAAAAAAATACATATATATATATTTTCAACGCAAATAATTAACTTTCCTAGATTCTGAATCTTATTCAGCTTATTAATTTAAACTTGTTATAAATTATTAGGCTTCGTATACATGGTCTTTGAATATATGGCACATGACCTAACCGGTGTTCTCGCGAACCCGAAGCTCAAATATGAATCACAACACGTAAAATGCCTTATGAAGCAAACTTTAGAAGGTTTAGCCCACCTTCACGAAAATGGAATTTTACATCGTGATATAAAAGGTAATTTTCCTATATATATTTTAGGTATATGGATCAAAATAGTAAATACGTTCATGCAAATATCTAGGCTCAAACATTTTATTAAACAATCGTGGAGAAGTAAAGTTGGCGGATTTCGGACTCGCCCGTCAATTTGATATTAAAAATAAGCACGATTACACCAATCGTGTAATAACGTTGTGGTATAGACCCCCAGAGTTATGTCTCGGAGCAACAGAATATAGTTGTGAGGTCGATTTATGGAGTGTAGGGTACATATCATAGTATTTTATTCTCCTTACACTATGGAATTTAATGGATAATTGTATTAATTGACCTAAAATCTTGGTTATTTCTTAGATGCATAATGATGGAATTAATAACGGGAAAACCATTGTTTCAAGGTAAAGACGAGTTTTCACAACTGGATAGCATCTTCAATTTGATGGGCGTGCCAGACAAAAAAGAGTGGCCCGAAATAACGGACCTATCATGGTATGCAATGGCAAAACGAAATGGTCCGAAAGGTTCTAAATTCCGTGAACATTTCGAACAGTAAGTATTAATTGAAATGCATACACCTTATTAATGTAATATTTAACTAACAATATTTTGGGGATTAGTATGTTATCTCCGTGTGCACTTCAGTTGGTCGAATCACTACTTTCAGTAAATCCAAAGAAAAGGCCGTCGGCTCTTAAAGCACTAAATTATACTTATTTCACGACTGAAAGTCCACATGCTTGTTCACCCTCAGAGTAAGTATATTTTTTCGTATTTACACTTCAATATATCATTTTATTCTATGGTCTTTCTTTATCTGGTCAAAACGTACTTTTTTATAGGCTTCCCGAAATCTTAGGAGATTGGCACGAATACGAATCAAAACAAAAAAACAAGAAAGCTAATCCATAGATGATGGGAACTCGTCTAATATATTTTTTTTTTTACTTTGCTATGAACAGGTATGTCTACGTTATCTTTTAGGATAATTTATGATAAACGTTTAAAAATTTAAATATTATAAAATAAAATAAACTATAACTTACTACTGTATTTGTAAATTTTATTTATGTACAAGGTTTTCTAAAAAAAAAAAACAAAAAAACAAAAATTGACGGACCACCATTTTTTTTTTTATGGTCTTTCCTTATTCTATTTTTAAGCACATTATTGTAGTATTTCTCCTCAATATCAATCAATGAATGTTTTAGTTACAGCATTCATTTTTTTTATTTCTTTTTTGGCTTACCTCCTGGGCATTATAATAAGCACTTGTAGAGGAATATTACTAGGTCGAAATACATATTAATACTCAAAGTAATATCATAATATATGATAATATATTATAATTACAAGCCATTGTACTATACAATGTAGCCAAAGTCAATATCGTTGCATCTATGGAAAAAATTTTTAACGAATAATTTTTTTTATTTTATTTTATACAAGGAGAGTTGTTCAATATATTACATTAGGGGAATTCATGTATATTCATTGTTGTATATTCGCATCAAATATAGCCGACATTACTATTAGTATCAATTAAATAGAAATTCAGACAATATTTGTTGAAATAAGACGGTAAAGACAATCAAGATGGTAACGATGAAAAGATGAATTAGAGATTACATTGATTGTATTCTTTTTTTAGAGTTATATGCTTAGATTAATATTAATTTTGTAAATAGTTAATATTGTAAATATAAATTGAAATTTTTTTAGATTAATGATAAATATATAGTAATTATTTTATTTTTAATCATCGGTTACTAGTCACTTCTTTCTTTTGTATTTATAGAAGATTCTTTTCATGTTTTGGATTAAACTTTCACGACTCGCACGCATTTGTAATAAAAGTTTTGATTTTCAATCACAAACGAGTCGCGAAAGTTGAACATGAAACTCTTCTATATATTTAATATGTAATTTTAGAAAATGGGATATTTTTAATAATCTTTTCTCTTTCTTTTGATTTTTAGGTCGCATTTTCAGATCAAGACACTTTTCAATATCTTATCCTTCGTCTAAAATAAGAATTTTTTCTGATTTTCCAACTATTAACACCATTAGCAACATCAAAGAATTTTACCATCGACAGGATTGAAGGTTTAATTTCAATATGAAATACGGTAACGTTACATTGAAACAGACAATTTTCTTTGGACAATCAAGAAAAGCCACAAAGATTAAGTACCTAACTAGACATTAAACTTTCAAAAATATATATATATATATAGGTATAAGAAGTTTTTCAATGGAAAAAAGCTAATGTTAAGGAATGCTTCTTATTTTTTGTAGTTCTCACCTACTTGGTTCATGCTTAAATATTAAATATTTTCCATTTCATATCGGATGATTTCTTTGAATAATTACTTGATACCGGAATTTAGAAGCTAAAATCTATTGATAGTTTTCCTACAAAAATAATTGATCAATAAATATTTTTTATTACGAATTTTTTTATTAGAACTGATTTTTTTCATTAACAATTCAATGTTCAATAAATATTTTTTTTTTTAAAAAAAAAAATCTAAATTACAGATATTTATAAGATTATCAAAATTTTTTTAATTCAAAAAATTCAAATTGCAAATAAAAATAATTAATTTCTAGTTTCTAATATAATTTTAATCTCTTTTGGGATTTATATACTAATAAATATATAATTATTATTATATAAAATAAAAATTTAATAAATTAAAATTATATAAATGTATTAATTAATTTTAAAAATTATTATTTTTGTTTTTAAATTTATTATAATTTAAAATCTAAAATTTTAATATAAAAATATATTGATTAAAATATTATATTTTATATAAAAAAATAGTAATATAAATTATTAAAAAAAAATTTTAACTTGTAATAATAAATTAAGGATTATAAAAATATATCTTATATATTTTTATCAATTTTTATTATATTCTATATTTATATAAAAAATCATTATTAATAAAACTTTATTTTTTTTTTAACTTTATATTATAGATTAAATTGATAAATATATTTAAAGGTTTAAAAATACCATCAGATATTTACTTTATATAATAATTTATATTTAGTTTATAAAAAATAAACTTTTTAAATAAGTTTTTGCAAAAATTACAAATTGCTATTTTTATATAAATAATAACTCAGATATAACATTTAATAATAAGTAATTATTCTTTATTTTAATTTTTTAATTTTTTTTATTTAATATAATAATTCTATTAATAATAAATTCATTCAGTTCTAAGTAATTAAAGAATTTTTTCACATTATCTGAAATTTTTTATTATATATCAACAAGCATTTCAGTATTACATTTTTGTGAAAATATTTTCTTTATTTTTTAAATCTTTAATTAATCAAAGTATGATAGAGAATTTTATATTTCTAAGCATTCAAATATAATGTTATTCTGTACTATAACCTAATCAATAAATAATTTTTTTTCTATTAATGTACGGTAGCTAGAGGTAGACAGAAGGCATATCCTCATAGAGGACAAATTGATCCTACATTAGGTTAGCTTTCTAAGTTTTCAGTCCCTTAAAGGGATATGTAATCCATCTTGAAACATATTCCTGTATAATTGTCACCTAATATAGATTAGTGTGTAAAATTCACATGCACAATATGCACATGTGTATATTAAAATTTTTTATGCACATATTACATAGCATAAAATATGTATAAATAATTACTAAAATAGATAAATTATATATAAAAATGGATAAATTTTTTATAAAAATTGAAATATTATATAATACATGCATTAATTTTCTATTTTAATACAACTTGTACATATGACTTTTGATCTAAATTTTACACACTAGTAGACTATCTACAATAGCTTATTACCCTAATTACTTCTGTCACAAGCTCACTAGATCTTATTAGATAATATTACTTTTGGATAAAAGGATTATTTCAACCATAAAATTTGTCACATCCTATTTTTATCAATCTAATTTATAGGTTTCATTCTATTGATAACTACTGAAACTGTGAGATTAAGTTCTTTATATAAATAGTGGTATTATACCTATAACGTTAAATTCACTTAAGAATTAAACTCAGCCTCTACCTTTAATAACAATTCGATTAGATAGTGCTGCAGCAGTACAATATAGTCTATTATCACTATAGCAATCTAAAGGTATTACTCAATCTACTAATTACTGGTTAATCACTTTCTTACTTGTATAAGAGCCCTTGAATTTAAAGACGTGAGATAGTATCTATTATAGACATATTAACGAAGACCAAGTTTCTATCGATCTCTAGCTTCATTTGCATTTACATATTCTTTAAACCTAGTATTTAAGTATAATTAACACTTATTAATAGATTGATCAACCAGTTTTTAATACATATTAGTATATATGTCACATATTTAGTTACATATGAAATTCTTATGAAAATTATCTAGTTTTATATCTTAGCTGAGATCTGAATCTATGATTATTGTAGTATAATCTACAATAGAGACTCGCATCTTACAAATTAAGCTAAGATTAATAATCCTTAACCTAATCAATAAATAAAATTTATTTATTATTAATTTTGAGTAAATAAACTTATTTATTACTAGTTATATTATTAAAATTATACTTTAATTAGAATGGTTTTTATTCTCTAATTTTAAATTTAAAGCTTAGTATAAAAAGGTTGATAAATTATTTTTATACTCATTTTTGATTCATTATTAATTATTCTATTATTTTTTTTTATTTTTATTTTATCAATTTTTTAGTTTTTTTTATCAGCATAATTTTATGCTTTTTATAATAAGTTTTTAATATATATTTCTCTTGTAAATTTTAAAGTTCTATTTTTATTACATCTTATTTATAAATTACTTGTTTCTATTTTAAGTTATTAATATAATATGCAATTATTTTTCATAACCTTTTTATGTATTTTAAATACTTTAAGATCTTTAAAATATATGGGATTCTTTATATCAAAAATTATAACCAAATCTTTTATCAACTCTTATAATAATTTCTTTTAAAATTAATAGTATATTTAGTTTAAAAATTAAAGTATTTTCAAGATATTTACTTAAAAATAAATCTATTCTTTCTTTTTTTGCTTAAGTTTTTTAATATTTAACTTTAATTTTAATTTATTAATTATATTTTTAATTATATTTTATTTTATAAAATGAACTCTAAAGATTTTAAAAGCTTTATTAAAATTAAAATAAATAGATTTTAACTTTCATATTTGTTATTAATAATTTTAATATTTAAAATATTCAATATATTATAAAATTTTGTTTAATTTTAGATACTTAATTAAATAAAAAGATATTAAGTAATAGCTATTGAATAATTTTTTTTTTTAATACTTGAAAAAAGAGGTAATGCTACTATAAGAGTATCTTGTTATAAAAATTATGATTTCTAATTTTTATTCTTATTCAATATATTTCATATTTTTATTTATTAATAGTAAAGATATTATACTTTAAAAAAATATTTATATTATTATTTTTATCTATTATTCTAGACAAATAAATTTTTTTTTTTAATATATATTTCTGATTATTACTTATAAAAGATTTAAATTCTAGATATACTTTAATAATCTCAAATTATTTAAAACTAAATACTTAATTTTTTTGTCAAATTAAAAAATTTATAATTAATAAATAATATAATTAAAACTAAATAAAATTCTTAAATATATTATTATTCAAGCAAAAATTTAATTGAAAAAATTAAGTTTAATATCTAATAACTGATAACAATTAATTTATTATCAATAATATCAAAGTATTTAATTTTTAATAATTTAAATTAACTTAATATATGTTAGTAACTTTTAAAATTACTTTATTAGAATTAGATTATATTTGATTTAAAAATTATAATAATAAGAAGAAGGATCTTGATAATTATGATTAAATTTTTTTTAAT